TTTCTGAACCTCAGTTTCCCTGGCAAGAAAATGGAACAATCATGGCACCCCTATTATAGGGTTGTTGTGAATCCTAAATGAGATCATGCAGACAAACTGGCAAGGTTCTAGGTATGCAGTAGGTGCTCAGTAAAGGCCAGCTGCTTGCCCCCGGCCATGCCTCTTCATCCTGGGCCTCAGCTCTGCTGTGTTGCATTCTCTGCAAGGAGAGGGCTGCGCTGTACTCAGTTACCCTCCCAAGTAGCAGCACCTTCCCTCAGCAGCCAGGAGCCACAAAGGGTGACAAATGGGGGACTTCCAGGCTCCAGGGCAGGTCAGCAGGGCTGAGGTTTGGGGCATGGGATTCCCCCAGAAGCCCGCTGTGATCTCAAGGACAGCATGACACAGAGCTAAGATCCTGGCTTTTAGGTCTGGGCTCCGATCTCATGATCCTCCCATGTGACCTGGAGCAGGTGACTCCACCTAGCTCTCAGCCTCAGTTTCATCATCTGTAAAATGGGGAGAATACTAGAACCTCCTGTGAAAGCTGTTTGAAGGGATTTACGGTGATATTGCAGCCTGGTGTGTGTTCGGGATGTGTTTGCTGAATGAGTGAGTGGGGTGATCCAGGCTGGTGAAGTTCAAGGGCATAGGAGGGTCAGGCAGGAGGGGAGGGCCCGGGTGTGCAGGAGCCAGACTGCATCTGCAGGTGAGAGCTAATCAATAACATTTTCAGAACTTTGTGTCAGTTGTTTAATAAATTAAATTCTATTATATTAAAAGCCAAGGTCATCAGTACTCAAAACTCACCAATTCCTAATACTTTTACTACATTATTCGGTAATCATTGCTCTTGTTACTAACATCTGTTGTATCATCGCCTATGTAATGAATGGTTGGTAGCTCAAAATTAGCCGCGGGAGTATTTACATGGAGGACATTGGCAAACGCTACAGATCAGGGCTTTTTCCGATTGGAGGCCAGTTGTTAAAAACTTACCAGCACGCCACTGGATTTGGGGCTCCTTTCTGACTAAATGATCTCCAAGTCTGCACCGAGGGAATCTCAGGCTTCCACCTGCTCTAAGAGCTGGCGGCGGGCGCCCCCTGGTGGCCGTTTTGAGCACCCAGTACCGCCCACCCTGAATGAAACCCCACACCTTGGAGAGAACTGCAAAGGGAAGGTAGCCCTCTTCCAACAGAGCTGGAAAGCTGTGGTCACACAGCATCCTCAGCAGCTGTCAGGGACTAGGGGAAAGGCCCCAGAAAGACGGGGTGACAAGATCCCCTGGGAAGCCACTCAGAGGCCCCCACGTCCTTCAGCCTGAGTCCACAGCTCCCAGCTGTGAAACCTTCAGCTCCCCTTCTGATTTTTCTGATCCCTCCCAAAGGGGAGGTAGACTCAGTTTCTCCTGACCCGTCAAACTGCCGTCCCGGGTGTTACCTGCCCCAGCCCACGACAGGCACTCCCACCGCTTCCATCAGCATCCCAAGACACCTGCCTGTGTGTATCCGATTTGACCGTTCTAGGGCAGACAGTGCGTTTCCGACATGTGCGGACCCTCTCCCCACTCCTCCCGACGCCGTCCCGGGGCCCCTCCCCCGACAGCTCTTTCCTGCTTTTCCTTGTCTCTCCTCTTCCCTCCAACCCCTCTCCCGAGCCACAGCCAACCCCTCTCCCGAGCCACAGCCAACCCCTGCCAGACCCCGCCTTCTCTGTGAAAGCTCCTCTTTCAGCCTAAACCTTCGGGGGCAAGAGGGGATGTCCTTCACCTCCAAAGAGACCATCGAAGGTATTTCTCTTTTCTTTTTCTTGTCTGTTTTTTTGTTTGGTTTGGTTTTTGTTTTTAGACAGCCTTTCACTCCTGTTGCCCAAGCTGCAGTTCAATGGCGCAGTTCAACGGCTCACTGCTACCTCCACCTCCCAGGCTCAAGCGATTCTCCCACCTGAGCCTCAAGAGCAGCTGGGACTGCAGGCGCACATCACTGCACCTGGCTCATTTCTGTATTTCTTTTTGTAGAGACGGGGTTTCACCATGTTGGCCAGGCTGGCCTCAAACTCCTGAACTCAAGCAATCCTCCCGCCTCAGCTTCCCAAAGTGCTGGGATTATAGGCATGAACCACTATGCCCGGCCTGAGGTATTTTTCTGGAAGAAAAAAAAAAAGATAATCCCCTGAGATTACTTTTATCCCTCTTCTAAAAGGTAGAAAAGAGTCTGTTTTAAGCCGCAACTTCCTTCTCTCTATATGGAAATGACTGGCAGGTATTGGGACGCAGAAGACGAAGAAAGAGTCCTCTCCAAATCTTGGTGTTCTAGTCTGATGGAAACTGCCTTTGCAAAAATTACAACTGAGGAAATTATGGCAGTAAAAGAGAACAGACCTAACAGACTCCACCTTGCTTCCAACCTTTAAGCTGTCCTTGTTCATTCCTTCCCAAAGTTAGGCTGAACTAACTTTGGGAAAGAATTCAGTTCATGCTTTGACCCTGAAACAAAATTGATAACAGCCCTTTCCCCGAAAAGCCCCCCTGCTTGCCTGGGACCAGTCTACCTTTGCAGGACTGACAAATGAGCTACAAGATTAGAAATGATGGTTTAGGGGTCATGCAGCCTCTGGCTCCAAGAGATGAAACCTCCCCAGATTTCTCCTGGGGATAGCATCGGTGTTGTAAAACCTTAAATCACTGCTTGAGATAGTTTGTAATTCCTGCAGTGGATGGATCAGCGGACACCACCCAGCCCGGTAACCTGACTCAACCAGTTCTGCCATCCCGCCTGGGACCAGAAGACATTCAGAAAACCTCACTTGGACCCTCTATGATTCCATCTCCAACCTGACCAATCTGCACTCCCCACTTCCCAACCCCTTACCCACCAAATTATCTTTAAAAATTCTGATCCCTGAGTGCTCGAATGCTCAGGGAGACTGATTTGAGTAATAATAAAACTCCCAGCTGGGTGTGGTGGCTCACGCATGTAATCCCAACACTTTGGGAGGCAGAGGCAGGTGGATCAGAGCGTCAGGAGTTTGAGACCAGCCTGGCCAGTATGGTAAAACCTTATCTCTACTAAAAATACAAAAATTAGCAGGGTGTGGTGGCGGGCACCTATAATCCCAGCTACTCGGGTGGCTGAGGCAGAAGAATTGCTTGAACCTGAGAAACAGAGGTTGCAGTGAGCCAAAATTGCACCACTGTACTCCAGCCTGGGCAACAGAGTGAAACTCCATCTCAAAAAAAAAAAAAAAAAGAAGAAAAATCCCCTGTCTTGATAAATCGGCCCTGTCTAGGCAGCAGACAGGGTGAACCCATTGGGCGGTGACCTGACCCTCACAAGGTCAGTGCAGGTTTTGAATGGGATAATGCAAGTGTTGCTTAAATAGCGGGGCCAACCTAGTTTGCTGAGTTTCGTGGAATATGGGACTTTCAATGCTAAAATCAAGAAAGTCCTGGGCAAACCGGGAAGACTGGTCGTCCTATGCTTAAAATCAGGCATCGGCAAACTGACAGAGCTGAAATGAGCTTGCCGCCCATTTATAAATAAAGCTTTATTAGAACACAGCCATGCCCATTCATTTATGGACATATTGTCAGTGGCTGCTTTTGTACTACAAGGACAGAGTTGAGGTGTTGCAACAGAGGCTATGGTGTCACAACAGCTAAAGCCTACAATATTCACTGTCTGGTCCTTTAAGAAAAAGTTTGTCAGCTTGACCTTTCCCACCATGTCACAGCAAATCAGTGCTTCTCTGAGTTGTACAAAAGGTTGCAGGCTGCACCGAGGCTCACCGATAAGCTACTGGCTATTCATGGGGACAGGGCCTGAGTGAACAGGAGAGGTCAGGGTGAGCTTCTGGAGAATGGTAAAGATTCTGTGCTTGGCCAGGCTTTAATCAGTCGGGCCCCTGAGTCCTCTCCTAAGCCCATTTGTGCACTTTCTTGTAAAATTCAGTTCTGGGCCAGGCGCGGTGGCTCATGCCCGTAATCCCAGCACTTTGGGAGGCCGAGGTGGGTGGATCACCTGAGGTTGGGAGTTCGAGACCAGCCTGACCAACATGGAGAAACCCCATCTCTACTAAAAACACAAAATCAGCCAGGTGTGGTGGCGTGCACCTGTAATCCCAGCTACTCGGAGGCTGAGGCAGGAGAACTGCTTGAACCCCAGAGGCGGAGGTTGCGGTGAGTCGAGATCACATCATTGTACTCCAGCCTGGTCAACAAGAGTGAAACTCCAACTCACAAGATAAATAAAATAAAAGCCAGTTCTAACAAGAACTCTGCTAAGTCAGTTTAGCAACAGCCCTCCCCCCCACACCATATCTGATCAAGTTCCACATCTGTCGTCATCCCTAGGTGATGTCTGAGCACCCTAGCCCGTCTCCAGCAAGAATCTTGTCAGGTCAGGGTCAGTCCGGCCAGAATCCCCGTTCCTCCAGTGCTTCCTCCTGGTAATTTTCCAACTGCAGACCTGCAACCCTGCTTCCTGGCGACCAGTCCCACTTCCCCCTATTGTACTCGGAGCTGAGCCCAAACTCACCCCCCACTGCAAAATCCCATACCTGCAGTCCCTGCAGTGATGGAGAGGGTTCCCCTCACCTTGAACAAAGTCTTCCTTATCATGTGTAACAAGTGTCATCGAGTCACTTTTTTTCTTTAACAGGAGGCTAGATCGATGTTTAGAGAGATATTGGTCTGAGATTTGGGGAAGACCAAATTCTGTGGCCAAAACTGGGTCATGGGAGAAGTCAAAGTGGTCACTGGTGGGGACCACCAGTGGTCCTTTGCCCCCCACCCCACAGCCTGAACTTTTCCTGGCCACCCAAGGATGTACAAGATGTCCCTGATGTCCAAGAGGCAAAAACGGAAATTAACCGAACATCCCATGACAGAGGCCACGGGGGACTGAGGGCTGAGGGCAGACAGCGGAGCACCAACCCCCACCCCGCACTGGGGGATGGAGAATTCTGGGAAGGCTGCCTGAAGGAGACAGCCTTGATACCTTGAAGGATTCAGCCATCAGTTGTCCATCACACATTTATTGAGTGCCTGTGCTGTGCCTGCAGTTGGGATACTGCAGTGAACAAGACAGCCCACCCTAGAAAGTGGCCACAGGGGGAGGTGGGAGAGGACGGCTGGGGGGGTCACCTGTCCCTAGATGGAAGCTCCTTGGTCCACCCAGTCCCAAAGAAAGATCTGCCCTTGGGCTTGCCAAAGCCATCCCAGCCCTCACAGGCTGAGCCTCTCCCTGGGTTTTCCCAGAGAGGTGCCCAAGAAGACCCCAGCTGCCCAAGGTCGGAGGAGCAGCAGGAAACAGCCTCAGGAGTCCGTCACTGCTCAGTACTCCTCCCCTAGAATGTCCCCTTCCTGTTTGGTGACCATGGCAACCAGAAGAAAATGGCGCAGTGGGTGGGGTGGGAGAAATGGATCTTCCTTGGGTACATGGGATGAGACTCCAGTGACATGGAGAAGTGGAGAGAGCCACGGGAGACACTAGAGGGACCCAGAGAAGATGGGGATAGGAAAAAGGAGGGACTCTCTCTTGAGTAAATGGCCTCCTACCCCGGCTCTTGGCTGAAATGTGGCCTGTAGGCGTCTGGGAAGTGGCCGGGCTTCATTCAAGGAGGGAGGAAAGAGGTGGCCACCTGCCAGTCTGCTTGGCCCCAAGACCTTGGCTGCTCTTGTCCTGTTTGGGCGGCCAGGGTTCCTTCCCTGAAGATCCCCATCCCCAGGGTCTCTGAGGAAGCCCAGAGCTGTGGAATGAGGTCCGGGCACCCAGGGGTGGCCAAGGAGAGACCGTGGAGGCTGGGATCTTGCTGAAACAGATGACAGAGGGAGTTAAGGGAGGAAGCTGTGCAGGGTGAGGTTGTCCCCCTCATGGTCCTCCCCAGGTTCTGGCATCAGGCCCTGGCTCTTGGCCTTGGGCAGGCCCCCATTGGCTGTGGCAGGAGGGCCCTCACCCCCATCAGGCAGCAGAGAGGAGATGCAGACCATCTCGGTGGGGGAGTAATTACGCACAGGGGTACATGTGGCTCTTGCGGGAAAGGCGGACTGCCAGCACCACAGTGCACACGAGGAAGACAGTGGCCACCATCGCCAAGATGAGGATGGCCAAGAGGCACTGCTTCACAGAGATGTGGTCTGGGGCACCCACTGGGTAGCTGGTGGACAAATTGCTGGCTGCCATGGGAATCTCCTTGTGAGTAACAGAGGACACAGGAAAGGGCGTGACCAGACCCCTTTTGGTAGTAGGTTCTGTGGACAGGGCCTCCGTAACATTAAGTTCTGTGGACAGGGCCTCTGTGGCATTGGGTTCTGTGGACAGGGCCTGCATGGCTGCTGGTGGAGTGGTCTGTGCCTCCGTGGCCACCAATGGAGTGGTCTTTGCCTCTGTTGTCACCGATAGAGTGGTCTGTGCCTCCATGACTGCTGGTTGAGTGGTCTGTGCCTCCGTGCCCACTGATGGAGTGGTCTGTGCCTCCGTGGCTACTGGTTGAATGGTCTGTGCCTCCATGGCCACCAATGGAGTGGTCTTTGCCTCTGTGGTCACCAATGGAGTGGTCTGTGCCTCTGTGGCTGCCGGTTGAGTGGTCTGTGCCTCCATGGCTGCCGGTTGAGTGGTCTGTGCCTCTGCGGCTGCTGCTTGAGTGGTCTGTGCCTCCGTGGCTGCCGGTAGAGTGGTCGGTGCCTCCATGGCCACCAGTGGAGTGGTCTGTGCCTCCATGGCTGCCGGTGGAGTGGTCGGTGCCTCTGTGGCTGCCGGTTGAGTGGTCTGTACCTCCATGGCTGCTGGCTTCATGGACAGGGTCCCCATGTTGGACAGCTCTGTGACTGCCCCTCCTGCATCCAGGCCAGTAGAATGCCTCGTAGCAGGCTCCATGGTGGTTGGCTCAGGAGTCCCAGGCCCAGTCAGAAGAGTGGTGGTGGTGATGTTGTTCAGTATTTCTGGAGCCTCTGTTTCCGGCTCAGGCTCATCATGCAGGTCATAATCTTCAATGGCCTCTCTCCGGCCCCGGGCAAGCAGGGGGCCCAGGGCTTTCTTGGCTCCATCTGCCCAGGGGTCCCACAGCTGCAAGCTGCTGCTAGGGCCCAGTAGGATCAGCAGCAGGAGGAGTTTCAGAGGCATGGCACCTGCGGGGAGACAGTGGGTGGAGGGACATCAAGACAGCTTCACCCACGGTTTAGCAAGCACCCTAGACCACCACCCTCTACGGCCATAGCAGTAAGCAGTCTGGTCTGGAGTAGGGACTGGGGATTTAGGATTCCCCAGGGATCCCTGACATGCCTGGCATGGAGAAGACCCTCATCCCTTAACAGTTATTATTATTACTAATCAACATGAATAAAGCCATCCAGGAAGGCCCTTTAACTTCTAGATGGTGCATAGAAATTGATTTGCCTCCCTCTTCTTTTTGGTTAAGCCATTTTATTTGTGGACAAGACAATCCATTGGGGTATAGAAAGAATTAGTGCTTCTAGTTCTATTAACTTTTCATGTCACTCTTTTTTTTTTTTTTTTTTTTTTTTTTGAGGTAGGTGTCTCACTTGACACCTAGTCTGGAGTGCGGTGGCACAATCTTGGCCCACTGCAACCTCTGCCTCTCAGGTTCAAATGATTCTCCTATCTCAGCCTCCTGAGTAGCTGGGATTACAGGCATGAGCCACTGTGCCCAGTGAATTTTTGTATTTTTAGTAGAGATGGGGTCTCACCATGTTGGCCAGGCTGGTCTCGAACTCCTGGCCTCAAGTGATCCACCCACCTTGGTCTCCCACAGTTCTGGGATTATAGGCATGAGCCACTGTGCCCAGCCTCATGTCACTCCTTCTTAACTTATATTATTGCATATATTTATAATCTATCATAAGAATAAAGTAGTACCTGTATAGAATTCATAAATAGATTAACCGCCCATTACAAAGTCCACAAGCGGAAGAGTTTGGAAATGACAGACCTCCCAGATAAAACTGCTTATTGGACATTGAGGCCTCTTGGAGTCTGATTCTGCCTGCTACCCCCTACCTGCCCACTGCCATGCCACCTCTACACGTCTGTCTTTTTCCTATCTTGGCTTCCACCCTCCACGGCCCTTGCCAGTCCTCAGAGTCTGTTTGCTTCATTCCTTTTCAACGTCTTGGCTTGGTCCTATCCCCTTTGGTGGTGTCCTCACTTGCACAACGCACAACAGGGATGACGTGCCTACATCCTGGGCTATTGTGAGGCTAAAGTGAGGGGATGCATGCAAGACCCTTAGCACTTTGTTTGCATGGCAACCTCTCAGCAAAAGTTGATTGATTTAGTTCTTTCTGTTAACCTATACCATAAGTCTTTAAGGGCCCAGAGCCATTTAACTACACTCTCCATGGCCAGGAGAAAACTCAAAACTTTTCAGAACAACCCTGCTCTCAGGGAGCTTAGAGTCATTGAGTGTGCCTGTGGGTAGCAACACTGTCTATTCAGAGACTACATCAGGCGTCCCCAAACTACGGCCCATGGGCCGCATGTGGCCCCCTGAGGCCATTTATCCAGCCCCCCGCAGCACTTCAGGAAAGGGCACCTCTTTCATTGGTGGTCAGTGAGAGGAGCACAGTATATGGCGGCCCTCCAACGGTCTGAGGGACAGTGAACTGGCCCCCCATGTAAAAAGTTTGGGGACGCCTGGTCTACATTGTCCTCCCTACCAGGGAGCCAGAAAGGATAGCTCCGCTTGTCTGCCCTTCTCACTGATCTTTCCTCGTGGCACTGTGAACACCCGCGCTTTCTTGTTCTCTCTCTCTCCCCTCATGCTCTCCTTGGTGCTGGTTGGTGTTTATAGAATTCAAAATCCTGTGCTGAGAATCCTACAGTGAGTGACAGCCATGTTCTGGGGCAGGATTCGGATATTCCTGCATTCCCTGGACATAACATCCTTTGGCAGCATACAACCCTTAGAACGGTGTCTAGTGCAGAGTGGGCATTCAGAGATGGCACCTGGACAACTTCCAGTCTCTTCCTTTGTACTTGATTCACATGGTTTGGAGGCAAGAGCAGTCACTCGTTATTCCTTGGGTGGCTGTAACTCACAACTCACTCATGGGCCTCGGCTTCCAGGTTCACTCGGACCTCTTTCACATGTTAGCTAGAATTATGTTGCTTCCTTTTCTTTTCTTTTCAAGACAGAATCTCACTCTGCTGCCCAGGCTGGAGCACAGTGGCATAATCTCAGCTCACTGCAACCTCCGCTTCCCAGGTTCAAGCAATTCTCCTCCTGCAGCCTCCCAAGTAGCTGGGACTACAGGCGCACACCACTATGCCTAGCTAATTTTTGTATTTTTAGTAGAGATGGGGTTTCGCCATGTTGGCCAGGCTGGTCTCAAACTCCTGACCTCAGAGATCTCCCCGACTCAGCCTCCCAAAGTGCTGGGATTAAAGGGTGTGAGCCAATACCTGGCCTATGTTGGTTTCAAACATGCAAATCTGATCACATCTTGAGCTAATTTATTTCTATTTATTGATTTACTTATTTATTTTAGAGACACAGTCTTGCTTTTCACTCCATCTGGAGTGCAGTAGTGCCATCATAGCTCACTGCAGTCCCCACCTCCTGGGCTCAGGTGATCCTCTCACCTCAGCCTCCTGAGTAGTAGGAACTACCTGTACATGCCACCACACCTGGCTAATTTTTAAATTTTTTTGTAGAGAAAAGGTCTTGCTATGTCGTCCAGACTGGTCTCAAATTCCTGGCCTCAAACAATCCTGCCTCAGTCTCCCAAAGCATTGACATCAAAGGCATGAGCCACCACACCCAGCCAACATCTTCAACTAATTTCTTAGAGGCCATGCGCGGTAGCTCAACCCTGTAATCCCAGCACTTTGGGAGGCTGAGGCAGGCAGATCATCAAGTCAACAGATCGAGCCCATCCTGGCTAACATGATCTACTCGGGAGGCTGAGGCAGGAGAATTGCTTGAACCTGGGAGGCAGAGATTGCGTGAGCTGAGATTGCACCACTGCACTCCAGCCTGGCAACAGACTGAGATTCTGTCTCAAATAATAATAATAATGATAATAATTTCTTAGGGTGGGTGCAGTGGCTCACACCTATAATCCCAGCACTTTGGGAGGCCGAGGTGAGCTGATCATCTGAGGTCAGGAGTTCAAGACTAGCCCAGCCAACACGTGAAACCCTGTCTCTACTAAAAATACAAAAATTAGCCAGGCGTGGTGGCGATCCCCTGTAATCCCAGCTACTCGGGAGGCTGAGGTAGGAGCATCGTTTGAACCCGGGAAGCAGAGGTTGCAGTGAGCCAAGATCACGCCACTGCCCTCCAGCCTGGGAAACAAGAGCAAAACTCTGTCTTAAAAAATAAAAATAATTTCTTAAACCAAAGTGTATGATATTTGCACCAGACACATCTGGCCCTCACAGTTATCCCCATTTTACCAAGGATGACACTAAGGTTCAGAGAAGTCAAGTGAGAGGCGAGAGGTCAAGATCAGATTTAAACTCAGTGAGGTTCAGGAAGGCGTAAAGCTGTCAGGAGAGACCGGTCCTAGTTAAGTAGACAAAAGGCTGGGCTTGTGGACGTGGGTGGGCGAGGGAGGACACAGCAAGAAAAAGGAGGAGCTGGAAAGCTATGCCCCCCAGAAAGGCCAGCCACATACTTACCAGGTGCCGTGCAGGGCATAGGGTTGAAAGCGTAGTCTATGGATTCAGATAACAAGAATGTTCAAGTCCCAGCTTTGCCCTTTACAAGCTGTGTGACCTTGGCACAGATGCTTGCCTCCCTGAGCTTCCGTTTTCCCACCTGTATGGAGATAAGAAACAGTGCCCTTCTCACAGGGCTGCAAGGGGATGGGTTCAAAAATTCCAGGCTGGTGGGCGTGGCAGCTCACACTGTCACCCCAGGACTTTGGGAAGCTGAGGCGGGTGGGTCGCTTGAGCTAAAGAGTTCCTGACCAGCCTGAGCACCATGGTGAAACCCCATCTCTATGAAACACACACAAAAATTAGCCAGGAGTGGTGGTGCTCCCCTGCAGTCCCAGCTGCTCGGGAGGCTGAGATGGGAGAACTGCTTGAGCCTGGGGTGATCGAGGCTGCAGTGAGCCGTGATTGTGCCACTGCACTCCAGCCTGGACGACAAAGCAAGACCCTGTCTCAAAAATAAATTTTAAAATTTTTAAATAGAAAAATTAGCCAGGCATAGTAATGCACACCTGTAGTCTCAGCTACTCAGGAGGCTAAGGCAGGAGGACTGCTTAAGCCTGGGAGTTGAGACTGTAGTGAGCTGAGATCGTGCCACTACACTCCAGCCTGGGTGACAGAGTGAGACCCTGTCTCGAAACAAAACAAAACAAAACAAAACAAGAAGACAAAAGTTCCAGGCTTCCGATAGGTGCTTAATAAATGTCACAGACACACACACACACACACACACACCCCTCTGCTTCCCAATTTACCTTCAGGGCAGCAGAGTTTCTTTGGGGTAGAGTTCCTATCTGGGGTAAGGATCTACCACCTGAGCTTGGCCCCACTTTTCCAGGGGCAGGGACTTTAGGAAGAAGCCACCAGCTTGGAGATAGATTTCATCATTATGAACACACTCACAGCCGCCAACCCCCACCTGGGCAGTTCTCTTTCCCTAGAAGGCAAAGCTCTCAGCCAGTTCCTGGAAGCAGAGAGGGTGGGGGCAAAATTGCAAGGCCTGGCCCCCGGGTTCCCCAGTCGAGGGAGGCATCTTGGTGAGTAAGGACAGGACTTGCTGCAGCCCAGAGGCTGGGAGCATAACACAGAGGGCTCTGGGGCCGTGTTCTTCAGGTGGGCTGTCCCTGTGGCTGACCCCTCCCCTACACCCATCGTCACAGCCTCCTGCACACAGAGACAACCTGGGGTGGAGAGGCTGCGGCCTGAATCCCACACTCACCCCCACTTAGCGGCTGTATAAACTCAGGCAAGTTGCTTCTCCCTCTCTAAGCCTCAGTTTCCTCACGGTCAAACAGGCGATATTGCTCAAAAAAATCATCATGAGAACTGAATGAGTGTGTCAAGGTCCCAGATGCTGGCTTCCAGCAGGGGGTACTTTACTTGGGGACCCTCTTCGGGGCTGCAGGCAGAGGAGCAGAGGAAAGGGTGCAGGCTCAGACTCAGAGGGTGTGGAGATAGTGACCTCCCTACCTGCCCCGTGGGCATTCGGGCTTTGAGAAAGCAGAGAACTCCATACCAGTTGTGATAAGACCTGGTGCGCTGGGAAACCACCTCCTTTCCTGGGCCCGTCTAAAACAGCCACTTTATCCCACATGCTCCTGGTGTCAGTACTGAGAGTCCCTCATCTCCAAAAACCCCTCACTCCTAGGCAAACCGGGGATGGCGGTGTGTTGGTCACCCCAGCCTGGTTCCTGCCGTTCCGTGGGCTTCAAGACACAGCAGCCTGGAGCCAGGCCTCAGCTGAGCGGGCATCAGCCCATCTAACAGGAAGAAAATCTGAGGCTCAGCCAGGCACGGTGCCTCCAGCTTGTACTTCTAGCACTTTGGGAGGCTGAGGCAGGAGGATGACTTGAAGCCAGGGGTTCAAGACCAGCCTGGGCAACGTAGTGAGAGATCCCTGTCTCTACAGAAAATTTAAAAATTAGCCAGGTATGCTGGCGCATGACTAATCCCAGCTGCTCGAGAAGCTGAGGCCAGAGCACGGCTTGAGCCCAGGTCAAGGCTGCAGTGAGCTATGACGGCACCACTGCACTCTAGCCTGGTGACAAAGCAAGACATTGTCTCTAAGAAATAAAAACTTTTTTTTTTTTTGAGGAGTTTCGCTCTTGTTTCCCAGGCTGGAGTGCAATGGCGCAATCTTGGCTCACCACAACCTCCACCTCCCGGATTTAAGTGATTCCCCTGCCTCAGCCTCCCAAGTAGCTGGGATTACAGGCATGTGCCACCACGCCTGGCTAATTTTGTATTTTCAGTAGAGATGGGGTCAGGCTGGTCTTGAACTCCTGACCTCAAGTGATCCACCCACCTCGACCTCCTAAAGTGCTGGGATTACACACTTGAGCCACCATGTCCAGTATTTTTTTTTTTTTTTAAATGAAAGAAAAGAAAACCCCAGGCTCTGAGAGAGCTTGTCTCAGCTGAGGCCACACAGTAGAACGTGGAGGAGTTGAGTTTTCTCACTATATATGACAGGTAGCATAATGCCGCCTTAATATTTGCTACAGTAAATTATTATACAAGAAAAATGCCGTATGCAAAAGCCCGTGCCTTGGAGGGACGATCTCATCCTCTCGTTGCCTGGAGACCTCATTCCTCCTCACTCCCATGTTCACTGGCTCTAAGGGCGCCCATCACACAGATGAGCAAGCAAAGCCCAGAGTCAGGGGGTCACGTCCAGGCCCCATCTTCCACCTCTCCTCTCCCTGGAAGACAGAAAAACAGTCCCAGGGAGCGGGGCCAGAGCAGGGGTCTCCGGCGCCCGTATCCTGTTTGTCTGGATGCTTGCCTAGCGGAGTAGGTCAGAGACTGCTCATTTTGCATCTTTCACCCTAAAACCAGGCTGCTTCTGCCCCAGGCCCCATCTGGACCCCATGTGGCCCCATCCAGTCTGTAAGGAGGAGCAGGCTACAGGGGCCCAGACTCCAACTCCAGAGACCCTGCCGTGTGGCCACCCTGAGTTGCTCAGGAAAAATACCCGAGGGGCTCCAAGCCGCTGAGAACTTCGCACTGAGAATCCTGAAACTGCAGGTCACAGCAGGCAGGATCTTGGAATGTTAAAATTCAGAAGACTGAGCATCTCAGGGTTTGGGTCAAGTAGTCATCAATAGAAGAAAAGGCCCCCAATAACTGAGGTGCAGGTGTCTCCCAGATCCCAGAGCAGATCTAAGTCTGGGCGGATACGACAGGCCCTGCCCTGGGAGCCACATCAAACCACGTCAATCCCAGCTCTGTCCCTTACAAGCTGTGTGACCTTGGGCAACTCACCTCACCTCTCTGAGCTGTGGGTTCCTTCGCTGGAATACAAAGACAATGGTAGCACCTGCTTTTCATGGGGTTGTTGTGGGTTGAAGAGGGCCAGGAGAATGCCCCGTCCTCCTCCCGGAAGCCTTTCCGGATTGCCCCAGGCATGATGAGTCATCTCCCATGTTTAACCATTTTAACTGTTCATTTACTTTCTAAAAATGTATTCACATTGGCCCCTAAACTTCCAGAGGACAGGAAGCACAGCTATCTTGCGGATCGGGCCACAGGCCCGGGATTTGGCCGATGGGCAGGCACACACCTCTCTCAATGCTTGTCCCAGTGGCAAGCAGCCACCGAGGCTGTCTGCTCTGCTGCTCCCACCAGACCGCAAGGTTTTGGAGGGCGGGAGCTCTCCGGGGTCTCCTGGCAGCCCCAGGGGCCTCGCTAAATGCCTCTGCAGGAGAGGTCATGTGACTGAGGCAGGGGACCGTGCCCAGAACTGCACAGCACATGCTGTCTTCACACGTTTCACCCGACGTTTACCAGCTGGCGCTTTCCAGCCTCTTTCTATCACCTACCCCAGCTCACATCAGGGAGCCTCTGTAGACAATTTTTCCCTACTTTTCATCCCCCTCATGAAATGTTTACTTATTTATTTACTTTTAGAGATAAGGTCTGGCTCTGTTGCCCAGGCTAGAGTACAGTGGTGCAATCACAGCTCACTGACTCCTTGAACTGCCAAGTAGCTAAGACTACAGGTGCGCGCCACCAGACCCGGCTATTTTTAGATTTTTGTCGAGTTGGGTTTTCTCCATGTTGCCCAGGTTGGTCTCAAACTCCTGCTTCGGCCTCCAAAGTGCTGGGATTTACAGCTATGAGCCACCGTGCCCAGCCCTCCTCACGAATTTTTTTTTTTTTTTTTTTTTTTTGAGACGAAGTCTGGCTCTGTCACTCAGACTGGAGTGCAGTGGCACCATCTCGGCTTACTGCAACCTTCACTTCCCAGGTTCAAGTGATTCTCCTGCCTCAGCCTCCCCAGTAGCTGGGACTACAGGCGCGGGCCGCCACACCCAGCTAATTTTTTGTATTTTTAGTAGAGACGGGGTTTTACCGTGTTAGCCAGGATGGTCCCGATCTCCTGACCTCGTGATCTGCCGGTCTTGGCCTCCCAAAGTGCTGGGATTACAGGTATGAGCCACGACACCCAGCCCTCACGAAATGTTAATAGCATAGACATGCTGTATATCTGTTTAATGTTTGGCAGTTCAGTGTTAGTTGAGATTTTTTTTGCGTTACCCCTCACCCCAACTCCACCAAGAACCAAGTTACTCCTGTTGGAACCCAAATTTGCTGGCCTGATAAAGCAGAGGTAAGGTACTTGTTTGGCACAAATGAATTCAATGAGATCGATATCTGGTTTTAGTTGAACAACTGTCTTTAAACAGTTTTCTAGAGACCCCTGTGTAGACAGACAGATCAACAAACGCAGACCCTCAACACACACACACCTGCCATCTTATCTTCTTCTAGACTACTAGCCCCACTGCCATCTTCCTGTTCAAGCTCAGCAAAGGAGATCAAGACACCGGCCTGGAGTCACCACGAACTCCATGAGCGTCCTGCAGCCATAACCACATCGCCAAAGGCAGCCGCTTCTCCCCTTCAAGCCTCGGTGTTCTCATCTGTAAAAGGGGCACTGTCCACTCTCCAAGGTTTTCAGATGATTGATTCCCTAGCTCTTCTGAATGCCCCGCTCTGGTCCCAGCCTGGCGGCCCAGCCCTTCCGCCATCTGAGATTCAACTCCCCTGGCTGCTGGCCAAGGATGTTGAGGGAGGCATCAACCACCCAGGGCGCGGCCTCCCCAGGCAACCCCAGAGGAAGCGACTCTGGGGGCATCCGAGAGCCTGGGAGCCACCTTCTGAAGCCCTGACACACTGAGGGGCCTGGCTCTGGGGCCCTGAAAGTCTGAGATGAGGAAAAAAAGGAAAACAGAAGAAAGAGGAAAGGGAAGAGGATTCCAGGCAGCAGAAGCCCGGACGCAGATAATATGGGGGGTGAGGGTGAGTGTGTGACTGTGTGTGCAGCGGGGCACAACTGGCCCCCACCATTTCCTTTTAGTGTCCTGAAAGCATCTCAAATACAAACTAATAAGAGTAGTCTAATTTTTTTTTTTTTTTTTTGAGACAGGGTCTCATTCTGCCACCCAGGTTGGGGTGCAGGGCACGATCTCAGCTCACTGCAACCTCTCCTCTCAGGCTCAAGTGATCCGCCCACCTCTGCCTCCCAAGTAGCTGAGACCACAGGCACACACCATTCCGCCTGGCTATTTTTTTTAATATTTTTGGTAGAGCTGGAGTTTCACCATGTTGCCCAGGTTGGTCTCGAACTCCTGAGCTCAGGCGATCCATCTGCCTCAGCCTCCCAAAGTGCTGGGGTTACAGACGTGAGCCACCGCACCCGGCCATGTATTCTAATCATTATTATTTTTTTCCATTTTGTTAACAATAGTATCCTACTTCTGATATTTTGATAGTTTGGCCACAGACAAGGGTCATTTTCTCAGTCTTATAAAAAGTGGGAAGAATGCATCTTTCTCTGAAAACAACTTTTTTATGCGTCCATAATATATGTAACTTTTTTTTTTTTTTTTTTTTTTTTTTTTTTTTTTTTTTTTTTTTTAGAGGCAGGGTTTCACCATGTAACCCAGGAGGGTCTCGATCTCCTGACCTTGTAATCTGCTCACTTTGGCCTCCCAAAGTGCTGGGATTACGGGCGTGAGACACCATGCCCGGCCTAACATGTGCAGCTTCGAGACAAATCCTGCATTCCCTCTACTTTCTGGAATCTTCCAGACCTAATCTCAGCCCTGCCCCTAAACAAATCCTTTCACCTCTCCAGGCCTCAGTCTCCCATGCAGGAAAGGGGAGGGTAGGATAATTTCTAGAGAAACCCTCATGGTTTCTCTGATTTTCAGAATGCCCCCAAGCCTGAAGCTGCAGGCAAAGTGGCTGGGAGGGAAGTAGGTTAACGGCAGGCTGGGGGTGGTGGGTCACGCCCGTAATTTCAGCGCTTTAGGAGGCTGAGGCAAAAGGCTTGAAGTCAGGAGTTTGAGACCAGCCTGGGCATCCAAGTGAGACCCCATCTCTAGGAAAAGTAAAAATATTAGTTGCATGAGGTGGTGTGTGTCTGTAGTCCCACCTACTCAGGAGGCTGAGGTGGGAGGATCACTTGTGCCTAGGAGTTTGAGGCTACAGTGATCCGTGATCGTACAACTGCACTCCAGCCTGGGGCTCAGAGTATGACCTTGTCTTAAAAAGAAAAAAAAGCAGGAGCAGGATTCAGAAGAGACACCAGAATAAAGGCCACAGACTCCAGGAAGACTTTAGTCTTGAGCCGGAGGAGCCTCGGTTCGCCCTCCCCAGGGGCTGCAGTTCAGGAAGGGCCTGGATGTCCTGCCCGGGGCCTGCCAGCAGCTATGAGACAGGCCCCCTGGCCCATGGGGACCTCCAGCCACACCCTGTGGTTTTGCAAGCCAACACTTACCACCGTGCTCAGCAGAGCATGGAACAGCTGCCTCGTGGGCCCAGAAGAAGTGGCTTCTCTGCTTTAGTGACGAGGCCTCAGCACTGCTGTGGCACCCCCTGCAGCAGTCCGGGACCCAAGCAACCCCCAATGGCCGTGTGTGGAAGAAGGAAGCGAGAATGTGGTTACTCAGGCAGGGCCACGTGACAGCCCACACCCCCTTGTTTGTGACAGCTTTGGTGACAACGTTGATCAAGCCGGGGTGGGGAGTAAGACAGGTACCCGCTGGGTCTGACATTGCTCTTGGAGTCCCATAACTGTGAAAACACCAAGAACCAGGTGGAAACTGTGGGGAGACGTTCTTCGGTTGAGGGTGGGGCCCAAACCGAGAAAGGCCACAGCATTACTCCAGTGACAATGGATAGTGGGGGCCAGAGGGGGGCCCCCTGAAGGACAGGAGTGGCTAGAGAAAGGGGAGAACGGTCTTGCTTCTTGCCCAAGATTGGCAGGGGGTGGGAGGGAGTGGAGGTGGCTGGGGAGTCGAAAACAAAACACAGACCTTCAAAGGGTTTGTAAATATGGGGCATTTCTTCTTTCAGGACTCACACACTCTATATCCACAGCAGGGGCCCTTTTAGCTGCAATCAAGAGCCTCTCTAGGGAGCTGGACTACAGCTTCCACAAGGTCGAGCCTGCTTATCTTATTTCCTCATCCTCAATTTGTTCATTTGACCAACTCTGGCACTCCAGACTGCATGCCCTGAGGTCCAAAGGCCAGCAATTCTAGGCTGCGGCCCTCCGGCCCTCCGGTGGCCCTTCATCACTGGGGAGGCTGTCGAGTAAACAAGTCAACAGAACATTATGCCACAGTGACAGAGCGCAGTCAGTGCCGTCCTGTGGTGAGCAAGGGAGGGGCCTCTCCTTCCATCCTGGGTGGGGGAGGGAGGTTAAAAGAGGATCTTCTAAGAAGAAGTGGCACTTGAGGTGACAAGCCGGGTGGGCGTCCCAGGCAGAGAGCACAGCAGAGGCAAAGGCTGGGAGGCCTGAGAACACCCAGACACTTCGGGAAGGGAAGGGGACTCCCGGGGTCTGCCCTTTGACTTTGCGCCAGACAGGAGCTCAGGACATGCGTAGAAAGATATTCATATCTTGCCTTACACACAGGTTTGTTGTTGTTGTTGTCATTGTTTGTTTTTGAGACAGAGTCTCGCTCTGTCACCCAGGCTGGAGTATAGTGGCGCGATCTTGGCTCACTGCAACCTCCGCCTCCAGGGTTCAAGTGACTCTCCTGCCTCAGCCTCCCGAGTAGCTGGGACTACAGGCATGCGCCACCACGCAGGGCTAATTTTTTTGTATTTTTAACAGAGACGGGGTTTCACCATGTTGGTCAGGACGGTCTGGATCTCTTGATCTCGTGATGCGCCCACTTCGGCCTCCCGAAGTGCTGGGATTAGAGGCGTGAGCCACCGCGCCCAGCCTGCACACAGGTTGTTTGAAAATGAAAACCAGAGACCCAGCATATGCTCGCCGTGACACAGTCTCAGCCACCTTAGGAAGCTGCAGCTGGAAAGAGCCGAAAGCTCACCCCGCCCACACAGAGAGGGAAATGAGGCCCCAAGAGGGCAAGTGAGACACCTAGAGCCCAGGCTCCTCACTCTTCCCCAGCAGGTTTGAAAATAGCCAGCCTTCAGGGACAGGGGGCTGAGAAACTCCAAACAGAACCTAGTCTGCCTGGAGGTCACTCTCTGATTAGCGGAGGTGAGTTCCAAGCTGTCTGTCACATCCAGCCTTCCTTGTGGTTCGGTGCAGCTTGTGAGCTAAGAATGGTGCTTACATTTTTAAGTGGTTGGAAAATGTTTTGTGAAAACTGTGAAATTCTAGATTCCATTTCCATAGATAGAGTTTTCTTGGGACACAGCCACACTCATTGGTGTACACACGTCGTCTATGGCTGCTTTCATGTTGCGGCGGCAGACTTGAATAGTTTCGTCATCCGCAAAGCCTCACAATACAAACGTTTAACGTTTCCTGAGCCTGTGGTCAACGCCAGACCCTGTGCTAAGTGCTTGGCATTTATCAGCTCATATAATCCTTGAAGCTGCCTTCAGAAATGAGGAAAGTGGAGCTCAGAGGGAGAACGCGCCTTGCTCAAGGTCACACAGAGTAATGGCAGTGCCAGGACTCAAACCCAGGTAGCTGGAATAAAGCTCTTGATCTTAACCCCTAGCCTGGGATGGTGCAGGCTGAACAGTGAGCTCCGGCACGTCGGCAAGCACTATATGTAAGGAGAAAGGAGTGGCTTAGCTGCAGGTAAGTTATTTCGTCTGTGTACTTGCGTGATAGGATCTTGCTCTGTGGCCCAATCTGGAGCGCAGTGGCGTGATCATAGCTCGCTGCAGCCTCAAACTCCTGGTCTCAAGCAATCCTCCCACCTCAGCCTCCCAAATAGCTGTTACAGGCACATACCAGCATGCCCAGCTCCAAGTAATCTATTCGAAGGTGAGACTTGAGCAGCAAAATTTCCTTCTCAGAGGAGCAAATATTATTAAGAGAATTCTGGTGTACGTCGTCTGTGTGAAGACCTTAAAACCACATTTCACCACACCTGACATCTGTGAGAGTCAAAGATTCAAAGTGAACATGTTTCTGCTTCTAGGAATGAAGCCCAGAAAAAAATATTCCAAAGTGCCTTCCAAGACTGAACCAATGATATCTGAGGTAAGAGAAATATTGGGAAAAAACACAGACTCCCATACTACGGAAATAAAGTCATATTTATATTGAATGCTTATAAAGCACTCAAGACGTGTTAGGCAAAAAAGAGAGGGTACAGAAGTATGTAAACAGCATCATTCAAGTGCACTTGGGCACGGAGAGGCCAGACTGAAAGAAACGCTCACAGTGCCCACCTGTCTCTGGGTGGCATAATTATGAATGGCCTTTGCCTTTTAAATATATTTTCTTTTCTACCTTTGTATATAGAAAAATGTGTATAATTATATGTCTATTTCACTTTTCTTTGAGACACAGTTTCGCTCTGTCCCCCAGGCTGGAGTGCAGTGGTGCAGTCTCGGCTCACTGCAATCTCCGCCTCCTGGGTTCAAGTGAGTCTCGTGCCTCAGCCTCCTGAGTAGCTGGGATTACAGGCATGCGCCACCATGCCCAGCTAATTTTTGTATTTTTAATAGAAACGAGGTTTCACCACGTTGGCCAGGCTGATCTCGAACTCCTGACCTCAGGGATCCACTCAGCTCAGCCTCCCAAAGTGCTGGGATTACAGGTGCGAGCCACTGCGCCCGGCTATGCCTGTTTCACTTTCTATCAGGAAACCAATTTCAAGCAGGGCAAGGATTTTATGGGCACCCTCGATGTTGAGATGGCTAGGCTTAATGCTGCTTTTCTCTCTCCTCTTCTGAGGTCTGTTGGGGGCAGCTCCTCCTATGCCCTATTATGTTTCTTAGGGCCGCCCACCAAGGTCTCCTCTGCCCCAGCAATGGGGCTAGTCCTATCAATTCTCCAAATGCTCCTCAGCTTCATCTCCATGGAAGATTTTCTGGAGAGGTTCAGGAACCTGTTCAGACATCATAAACTAAACTCCTAAAGAGCAACTGATGACCTAGAACAAGAATCAGAGAGCATATTCTGGAAAGAACGAGAGAGTAAATCTTTCTGGCCTTGCGGATCTGTCACAGAGATTCAAATCTGTGGTAGGGAAAAGCAGCCACAGTTGGTGTATAAACGTATGCAGTGTTCAAGACTATGGCATTGCCTTTCTCGGTCCAGAGCACATATATTGAGCCCTGACAAGTGCCGGGTGCTGGGATGAGCCACTGACATTGTCAGCACCATCCCTGCTCTCATAGCGCCTGCAGGGTCCTGGTCAGGCCAAAAGCCACCGCCAGTCAGGGATACTGAATGTAGGCGGGGGGAAACACAGGCCTGGAATCAGAATTGCGTCTTTGCTTTGAGCTTGCTGTGTGGCTGTAGGAAATTTGCTTGAGCTGTCTGAGCTCGCCTCATCTGGAAAATGAAGCTTTGAACGCTTAGAGAGGAAAGAGGCAAGAAATCAATAAACATCTGAGAGTATGTTGGGCTCAGATGTAGGCACATCCCAATTGCCTCACCTCTGACTCCCTCAGTCCATCTTCCTTAAAATTTCAGAGCAAAATTTGCTTCAGGTCTTGGGACGCCAGCCCTCAATATATATATAAGAAGCCGCTCCCCTGCTCCAAGTACGGGAACTCTCTTCCCTGTGCAGGATTCAATGGATCCCCGTTGCTTTTAGAACAAATACTCAAATCCCCAAGATGGCCGGCACTGCCTTGACCTCTCTCTTCCTCTCCAGCCTCATCTCAGAACACACGTTCCCTTGTTTTCCCTCTGGCACCCTCTTTTAGTTCCTCTTATGTCTCATCCTAACACAGGACCTCTGCCGAGAGCAGTTCCTTCTGCCTAGAGCCCTCTTTACTACTCATTGCCCGGGCAGCTGCGACTCACTCTTCAGAGTGCAGTTCATGTGCTCCTCCCCAGCAAAAGCCCACTCTGACCACGCTGCTCCCACTTCAGGCTCTCAGAGCCCTGTGCCCCTTTCCTGCTGGATAAATATCTATCTCCTGGGGACTCCAGAAGAAAACCATGTCTGTTTTGCTGTTTTGCTCACCATAGCACCTGGCACTGAGCAATAACTTCTGCTCACATTTATCAGGCACTTCTTCATGCCAGGCCCTGTCCTAGGCCCTTGGCATATATATATATATATAATTTATTTATTTATTTTTGAGACAGAATCTCACTCTGTCACCCAGGCTGGAGTGTAGTGGTGCAATCTCAACTCACTGTAACCTCTGCCTTCCGGGTTCAAGCTATTCTGCCTCAGCATCCCTAGTAGCTGAGATTACAGGCACCTACCACCACACCCCGCTGATTTTTGTATTTTTTGTAGAGACAGGGTTTCCCCATGTTGGCCAGGTTGGTCTCAAACTCCTGGCCTCAAGTGATCCGCCCGTCTTTGCCTCCCAAAGTGCTGGGATTACAGGCGTGAGCCACCATATGCGGTCTAGTAATTTGTTTAACTGTCACAACTGCCTCATGAGGTAGGTACTATTAGTGTCCCCATTTTGTAGATTGAAAAAAAAAAAATGGT